AACATTGGGGCTTGTCGGTGTGAGGTGAGCCGCCGAGGCTCTGCAGATCACATCATTTGCCATCCTGCCTGGGCACAGCCCCCAGTGAAAGGACACTGGGGGAAACCTCCCAGAACAAAGACATGACTCCTCAGTAAATCCATCACCAGGTGTGGAGACTTCACGCCTTTCTCTCTGACCTGGCCCCTCTCCAATGGGAGGTGAGATAGTGATGGATGGTGCAGTAGACCCCAGGGTCCCCTCACAATGTGCAGCAGCTAGCACCACCCACCGCATCAATACCTCTGTGAGGCTGAGCTGTGTGTCACATGCACCTACAGCACAGGCAGGCTCAGACATCTGTTGCCACCCACTGCGTGTGCACCCCTCTAAAGTACGCCTCACACAGACACCACACACACTGTAACATCTTGCGCCCCCCCTCGCCCCTCCAACATATACACAACGGCTCATCAGGCAGGAAAATCAAAAGAGCGCTCTCCCCAGATTTGAGGAGCGCTGCGGCTGTTATTGTAGCCGAGCGCCTTAATGATCAGCATCTGTTCCCCTCTCTGCTGCCTCTAAACAAGGCTCCCTGCCATACTACATCCCCCTAGTTCCCTCACTGTAACTCTACTGGGGGTAGCACAGAGAAGAAAGACAAACCACTCGTGGGTGTTGATGGTCTCTCTCTCTCCCTGCCCCCAGAAAATAAACTGCTGACTGGCTTTAAAGATGAGCTTGCCTGAGAGATATGCATGCCTTCGCGCCGTTGTCTCTCTACGTAAGCAAATATTTCCCTATAGCTGAGGGTTTTGCATTATTTGCTGCAAGCCAAGGCTGCGTACACACACCTTTAATATGTCTTGGTTTGATCTGGTCTGTGATGTAAACACTGTTAAAAGGAGTAGCTTCTGTCTTCAAACATGTGCAACATTCTTGTGTTTTTAAAATAACTAATGTTTGATCCACCTTACCTATCATCACACATAGACATGTTGTCAACACTTTTCCCAGATAGTAGCTGAGTCCCTGCAGGAATAACAGTCAGTCATTTCGTTAAAATACCCCCCATCCCGTCCCCCCTTGGGGAGTCTCTATTCCCCCCGGTTGCTAGATAGTAAACTGTCAGATGACGTTGCAGTCCCTAAAACCAGATGTGGGTTTTACAGGCAATCTGCACATCTGCTTCCCTGACATGTGCTTATTTAATGTTAAATATTGTAGAATCAAACCTCACAGATGAATCAACATCTCCCTGCCATCTTTAAAATTGTTCCTTTTCAACTAATTTTAAATACATCTATTTATTAATATCATTATTTAAAATAATTAAACAGTCACAATGTTTGCTTTGATCACGTCTGACTATTTCTCAATTACTCTTTTTCTTTGTGCAATTTATTCATTATTGTATCTATCGGTTGTATACTTATATCCATCTAATGTAAACATTTATTCATGACTTCCAACCATTTCAAGCATCCGTACATTAGTTGGAACCATGTTACCATTTTTCCATTACCTTTATCAATTTAAATTGTGCATGCATTACTTTAGGCTATCTGTTGTAAACATCTTTTGCATCTTAGCTCCATTTTAGCATTAACTTAACATTGTTCATGTATTTATTTATTACTTTAGACAATTTGTATTGGTTATCCATAACTTTTAGCTGTTTCAATCACGTATGCGTTACTTTAAGCTAGCTTGTAGAGTAAAAGCAGAAATGCTCTATGGCCCGGTTTACACATTTCTAAGCTCCAGTGCTAACAATTTTTTCGTGGCAGATTGTTGGCAGAAGGATATTTCTCAGTCTTTGTTTAAGGCCACATAAGTCGGTTATTCTGCAGATTCGGCTGTTTTTGGGCAAGTTGCCTTTTCCCTCTTCTGTCCAAGTATCCCTGTGTGCACTTGGCTTTTATGGACTGATGTAAATTCTCTTTCATGGCCGCGGAGGAATAGCTGTTGATCCTTATCTCTCCGTAAAGCCGCAGATTTATGGTCAGGAAAAGGCTTTTTAGAGCCCAGAACTGGCTGTGGTTGCAAATTACACTTTGAAAAGAGAAACATTTCTAAAAGCATCAGTGGCAGTTATTGAGCATGTCGTGCTTTGATTGTATTTCTGTTGTGTTAGTGGGAGACACCTGCCACCCTCTGGACCGCTCACTTTGTTCCACTGGTTTCCTCAGCAAGATGAAACAGTTCAGATTGATTCATGCCGAGTCATTCATGATTGATGTGTGCCACCTGTGGCTCGATCTGGCACGGGGTATTGATAGCGCTTTACACACAAACAAAATAATATTGGAAATACAAGAGGGGAGCTGCTGGAACTGGATGGTGATTTAATTGTATGGTCGTGTTTTTTTATCAGCATTGTCTTTTCCTTACTAATCTGTTGGTCTGTGTCCAATATACTCTAAAATACTCTGGACTTTGCTGCAAGTTGACCTCCTTCTTTGTGCCCTCCTCGTGCAGAACACAGACCCGGTCCATGACATGCTCCTGGACGTGATCACCTGGGTGGGCATCCTCCTGTCTCTGGTCTGCCTGCTCATCAGCCTCTTCACCTTCTGCTTCTTCCGCGGCCTGCAGAGCGACCGTAACACCATCCACAAGAACCTGTGCATCAGCCTGTTCATCGCAGAGTCTCTGTTCCTGGTGGGCATCAACCGCGGGGACCAGCCGGTAAGACACCTTCTATGGAGTCTGTTTATTTAGCACCCCTGCAATACGCCTCCTGCACAACGTACTGCAAGAGTTATACATTTCTAAATAGTTGCTTTTACACTCGGTATGCTAAGCTGAGCTAAGCTAGCTTGCTGCTAGATCCAGCTGTTAACAGTTTTTATTATTCAAACATTAGACTTCAATCAAGCTTTCTTATCGTATACTCTTGCCAAGAAAACCAATCTCAAAACAAAGTTGGTTGAACAGAGTTAATTTGAAATCTTAAGTGTTGGATTTAAATCATTAGGTAATCTAATATGTTTAAATGTGTACTGCAAAAGTGATACATTTCTAAATAGTTGCTTTTACACTCGGTATGTTAAACTGAGCTAAGCTAGCTTGCTGCTAGATCCAGCTATTAACAATTTTTTAATATTCATACATTAGACTTCAATCAAGCTTTTTATCGTATACTCTTGCCAATAAAACTAATGTCAAAACAAAGTGGCTGGCATTAAGTACAAACACTTGAAAAATGTGGCCAAAATGAGTATAACTTCTTTATATAAATCCAGTTGCTGTATTTTAAACATCTAGTCAGTAAGGAATGAAATGAAAGTGCCTAAACAAATAAAGACATGAATAACAAAGTTTTATACAAATAATTGTTGCTAATTCATAGTCCAGAGAAAGAAAAGCATTTATATTAAAGTCCACAGAGGACCGCCACCATCGTCTCCTCTGATTTGAAAAGGGAGTGTAACCTTTGCTGTCCCTCCCACAGAGAGAGAGCCTGTGGCCATGAACTTTTAGATTCTGCTCGGCACCGAGAGGAAATACTGAAAGGAGAGAAATAGATGCACTTTATTTGACAAACACTCCTCTCGGTCCCCTGGCTGCAAAAGAAGCAAACACTCACTTGAGATGACGCTCACACAGAACACAAATGTTATTCTCTCGGGTACTGCACACACTCAACGACATTAATTCATCCTTTCACTCCCTAACCTCCTCATGCAGCACTTCTCACATTTTTAAACTCTTCAGAATAATCTGCATTAATCCTTTCGACACACTAAACCATCTTTTAATAACTGGAGTTTCAGCTGTGTGTGCCATCTTCAAATGCGTGTGTTCACACTTTAGACAAATGTCATTACATGTGTACTGGAGGGCGGAGGGCTTTGCTCCGCCCACAGCTTCATGCTGTCGTGCCACTTCTGTTTCCAATGAGGCACAGTTATATTTGCTCTCAGATGGAAACATACTGTAAATGATTGTATGACAGTATGTGTCATTTATTTAATATCATTGTTTAAAACATGCAGTGTTATTCCAAGCATACCTATAATTCACTTCTGTATTATTAGCTGGACTATGTTAACCAGAAATACATGACTCCTAGTTGAAATAATAATCAATAATGATATCCCAAATAAAAAGAATGTCACTTTGAGAGCGCATACCTCCTCAAAGACCAATGGTGCATTCACATGCTCCTGGGAGAAGGTCTCATTTACACTACACTTTTTACAAAACAAACTGCTTGAAACAGGAATAAATAAATAAAAACTTTCAGGAATACTATGTAATAAATAATAATAATAATAAATGTTATTTTTGGAGCGAATTTCTGGGTACTCGATAACATTTTACGGTGTAAAATGCATAAAAACAACAATTAAAGAACACACTTAAAATACATAATACCAAAAGATTATAACAGATTAAAAGTGACTTTGTATTTGTGCAAGATGCATTAAATAGGACCATTTCAACTCAACCTAAATCAAACAAATAAAAGTCATAACAATAGTTGCACATTAAAATGAAAAAATGACATTAACAATTAAACAAATGTATCGAGTAAATAATAAAATACAAATAAATATCTCAAAAGTATATTTAAAAAATAGAAGGCAATAACATTAAAACATATTATAAGATTTACAGAGAAAGAAATATAGTGTTGTTATTTTCAGCCTAATGGTTTAAAATGATAATAATATCCCAGTTTAACCTCAAGGCTTCCTCTTTGAAGTTAAAGAAAATGCTCTGCCTTTTATCTCACCCTCTATAACCTTTTATGGGTTTGATTCACCGCCCGGCTCTAAGATCACTCTCCTGCACTGCAATTAATGTCCACTCAACCTTTTAGTTATTTAATTGAACCCATTTCAGTGACAAAACTCCCCAGTTATGTTCAACTGCGCCGATAATTAGATCAATCCCTGACAGTGGCAGTGTGTCTTATTATTGTTAGAAAGTGTGTGGGCACATGCAGACTTAGAGAGTGTGTAACTGCACCACGAGCTCCTGCGCACCTGGCCGCAGTATTAAATGCTCTGAGCTCCAAATGGCTGCAGGACTCCTCTTCTCCATATCTCCCTTTCATCCATGCCAACGACAGCAAACAGGAACACATGGGCTCAGTATCTGCAGCTCCTGCCAGTCACCACAGGCTCACTTCCAACAGCCTCAGCCAAACAGAGCCAAGCAATGCTAATTGTGAAGAAGACACAAACATGCAGAGGTCAGAATATGCTGTTCAGTTATAGTCACATATTCTGCCCTCTAGCAAGGCATCTAATCCTGCAGGAAACCAGAGAATAACTGATTGTGGTTACTGTCAACACTCACACTTCCCTTCCTTCTCAGATTGCTTGTGCGGTCTTCGCCGCCCTGCTGCACTTCTTCTTCTTGGCGGCCTTCACGTGGATGTTCCTGGAGGGCGTGCAGCTCTACATCATGCTGGTGGAGGTGTTTGAGAGCGAGCACTCACGCAAGCGCTACTTCTACCTGGTGGGCTACGGGGTCCCCGCGCTAATTGTGGCCGTTTCCGCTGCAGTGGACTATCGGAGCTACGGGACCGACCGAATGTGAGCTCATTTCACAATCTGCCCTAAAGGCTGCGGAAGAAATGGTTTCCCTTTCTGCATGCAACATTTCTTTTTTGGGGCTCAGCTTTAGACTAGAGTACATACCATCTAGAGTGGTTGCTAAGATAATTACAGTTAAAATGTGCACAACAAAAAGTACAGTCGAAAAGTCAAATATGTCAAGTTGCAATGGATACCAAAGAGAGCAATTTATGTTCATGACGAGAAGACAATTCTACTTCCAGTTTTGGAAAATAACGTCACATCTGGGGATTGTTACGGGGCATAAAAGGCTTTATTTGCTGACCCTCACATGCCTGTCTCTCCACCGATAAAAACCCTGCTAACAACAGTTTATTTTGTTCGAGGGTCTCTAACAATCTTGCAGATGATGCTACAATAGCTATAGCTCATCATCAACTCTTAATGAAGCAGAACGGGGACGGGAGCTGCTGAATTGACATGGTTCTGACAGTGAGAGATGCTCACTTCACGAGATAGTATTGCTGGATGAATGGCTGTTGTGGCTAATGTCAGCATTTTGGGATGCACAAATTACATCAGGATGGGGGGGGGGGACTATGAGCAGGGAGATGAAGAGGGAAAGAGAGAGGAAGAGACAGCAGATTAACAGAGAGACACACACTGCCTTTTAGTATTTCCTTCTGAAGCTGCATACACCAAGTGCTCCATAAAGCAGAGCAAGGATCGCCCCCTGAGTAAATCTCAAAGCCATCTGAAATAATGAAGACCAGCATCAGCAGTTTGCTTCCAAGATGTTTATCATATATGGCCCACACACACACACACACACACACACACACACACACACACACACACACACACACACACACACACACTGGTAGTTCCTGGTGATGGATGAGGCGATAGCTGCCACCGCCTGAGCCTTGGCATCATGTGAATAATTAAAGCCTGCCACCGGTGGAACAATTATTCGCCGCCATTGAAGGATGAGGGAAGGGACGGGGCGGGACAAGTGTTGAATAGCAATAAGTGTGTGTGTGTGTGTGTGTGTGTGTGTGTGTGTGTGTGTGTGTGTGTGTGTGTGTGTGTGTGTGTGTGTGCGCGCGTGATTTAAGGGGCTATAGCAGCATTATCATAGGCGGTCTCGTTTTAAATATCCAGCAAGTGACCCAACATTAAAGTGGAAACTGAACTCAGGAGACCTTTATTAAATTACTCTTTGAGAATGATTACTCTCAATGGACCCTTGAGCAAGGCAGCTCTTCTGGAGTCAGCAGAACCAGGATTACTCCGTTTAATGAAAGTAATACATCAAACCACTTGGACCCTCTTGAATCCAGTTTCAGTAATGTAGTTGTGTTACTGTAGTGCAGAATAATGGCTGGGTTTAGTCCAAGTTCTCCCGTAGATATTTATTATAAATATAAACACTTATGTTTACTTTCAGCCCCTCTCGTCAAAAGCAGTATACGCTTCAGGCCTGACAGACATGTTGGATGCATTTGAATTCTTACAAAGATCGGCAAATAACCATATTGCTTTAATATATAGTTAATTGAAACCTGTTGTGTTTATTGCATTTTCACATCAGCAAGTATTCAGGACTCAGGGTAAATGTTCGCTATTAGCTGTGTTAAATATGTATCTTTAAAGAACACTAGTTTGGATAGCTTGGTTAATAATCCAAGAATATTCAACACATTTTCATCTTTTGGAAGGAGCTTTTATTCGTAGTTTCTCTCAAAATCCTATTTATTTATAACAAGCTATACTTTGGGTTTTCTTTTTCGAGGGCGGTTGTGTTACATGCTTCTTCACTAGTCGGCTTCTAAGGACACCAGCTAACCGGGTGTATTTCAGTAGAGAGAAGGCTGACACTGAACACATCACACCAACATTGATAAGCACTACATGTGGAAGGGAAAACTCATAGTTTTTGATCAGTGGGTGAACTGTCCCTTTTTAAGATTATAGTTTAAAGGGGCCCTATTCGCTCATGTTCAGGTTCATATTAGTATTTAGAGCCTCTACTGTGACAGGCAGGAAGAAACAACAGCCTGCAGCTCCCACCACCCACCACGTCTCTACATCTCTCTGATCTGAGGAAGAGACGAACAATAAGAAGCTTCAGCGTCATTTCTTTCCACGATTCGCAGCACACGCGCTTTGATGAGCTGCCAGTTTCTCTGCGTGTCTTCTGTTTGCTCTTCTTTATGCTTCCATATGTGTTTTTCTGTGTTTCCTCCTCTTCTCCAGTGACATCAGAGAGCAGGAGAGATATCAACAACAAAGCAACAGTCACTTCTATCCCGTCACTTCCCCTATTATATGCTCTCTGCTCACACTGACACTTCTGCAGTGACAAACATGTGCATTCTGGTCCTTTTGCAGTGGAGGTTTTAAAAGTACAGTATGGCTGCAAATACATTTTTGTATGCAAGACAGTGGAACCCAAAAGGCCTTCATCAGATCGTGCAACAATTGTTTTGTCAAGGACATTTTAAGAGACATATTTGCTTAGCTTTCTGTCTTTCTGCAGAACTATTCACCCCTATTTTCTTCTAAAGTGCCCCCTGGCCTTTATATTTTAAAATACCATGAAATGCCCCCCCTTGAAAGACAACACGCCTGTATGAACTATCATTTTCCATTGTCCAAAAATGGAGGCGTCTTTCTGCTGCAGCAGCGGAGATTAACAGATTAATAATTCAACCACAGGTCATAAATCATTTTTTTGCTATTTCTAAGCTACATTTCCACCTTCTTCTGTCCTGTTGCTCCTTTGTTTAGTTTTTCTCACTGTTCTGATATGATAATAAGGTCAGGAGAGCGTGGTGTTTAATTATTGACATAATTACAGCAGAGTCATTTAGTGAACATGTGAGGCTCTTTGTGTTTGGAGATGTCAGGGTCAAGGGCAATCCAATCCCTTTTGAGTGATACTACCTTTCAATTAAGAACTGAGTCGGTCATCAATTTTCATCTGTAATGGTAATATCCTATTTAACCCTACAAGTAAAAGAAAGCAGTTTCTCAAAATTGGCACCCTAGTCGAAACGGAGCAACATTTTAGGAAACCAAAAAAACGAAGTGATGTCTGAATGTATCAACACATTGTTAACAAAGGCATATAAAGACATGCAACTAATATGAACCTGACAGTGAGCAGAATAGGGCCTCTTTAACTGTGACACCTGTTTTCTGATCAAAGCCCATTGAAGCTCATTGAAACTCGAAAACCTTTTCCTTCAAATCCCTTCTCATGTCCATAATTCTGCAGCCCTTGGAGCAGTCTGTGTTGTGAAGAGCCTATTCCTCTGAGGCACTTCCTCTTGATGTATATCCTCGCTGTATGAAGCCATACCCTAAATCTTTCTCTCTCCCCCTCCTCCCTCTCCTCTCCCCCTTATTGCAGATGCTGGCTGCGCCTGGACACCTACTTCATTTGGAGTTTCATAGGACCGGCAACCTTGATAATTATGGTAAGCGAACCACCCTCCCCCTTTCTGCTCATTAACCCTACTTAGCCTGCGGGTCGTCCCTTAAACGCTCCAGCGAGATCTCTTCCTCTCGCTTCTCTTCCCTCCCTCTCTTCTCCGCCCTGTTGAGCGCCGAAGTCTCTGCGGGCACAGCTGTCCCGAGAAACAGATGAGGGTTGTGAGGATATATCGCAGCGTGTCACCCGCTGCAGTCACCGGCTGAGGCCAATTTTGGGGGGGAAGAGAGGGTAGGAGGGGGGAGACGTAGAGAAAAGAGAGTGAACTCTGCTCAGTATGCAATGTTGGAGTAATCCACTCCCAGATTATGATTGATTCTGTTCCTGTTCCTACTACTCTACACTACCTTTCTCCACCCCTCACACACACACACACACACACACACACACACACACACACACACACACACACACACACACACACACACACACACTCCCTATGTCTTGCACGATTAGGACAACCCATATTTTACAATTCAATTTTACTGATCCCACTGCTTTAATTTTGATTATCTTTTAAGACAATGATAATGTAACAGTTAATAGCATATTAACATTCATTTGAATTATACTCTTTCAGTGTTTAGTATTGTTATTATGATATAAACATATGTTAGTTTTGACGGTTAACGTGCTGCTGCTTCATCGGGGGGAAAAAACCCAATTTGGAAATGAATAAATGATATCTAATCCTATGTAAGTCATTCAAATGAATACTGTTATAACTTACAAAAGGTTTAGTAACATTTCTGAAACAATAGTGTATAACTTTTAGGGCAAAGTGTATTAGATTATTATATCATTTTCTGTAACCAGTAATACTGTATGACAAATCTAAATCAAGGAAAGAAGCTGAACATACAGCATTAACAAATCAAAATGAAGATAATAGTTTCCATGCTGGGAAGAAGAGACCAGATCCAATTGTTCCTCAGGAGTTTGGTGAATATTTAGGGCAAAGATGTCTTTTAAGTCTTTTCTATTCTCGCCTCTTATTATCTTAATATTAGCTGTGCAGCAGTGAAAGCATACTAATTGCTGTATTTCCTGAGGAGCCACTCCGGCACCCTTATTTAGCGACCAGGTTTCACTCATTATCTGATTTAGTGATTTCTGACTTGCAGAGAAAAAGGAAATAATGAGACTGTTTTTGTCAAAGGCAGGTGCAAAAGTCAAACTGAGACATTCTTGACTCAACTTTGTTAAGTTTTCATTTCACCTTTTGAAACCTTCTGCATAAAGAAACGGAAGTACTCCAAAGGAAGTCAAATTGAAAAAGTGTCCTTTCATGGTACAATTAAAGTGTTTGACATCCCTCCGAATAAAGGATTTAATCGCTTGTGATATAGCAGGGGAATTGTTGATTTGTAGTCCCTGGGCATATGTTGTAAAGTCACCCTTAAAACTGATTATATTTAAAAATTCAAAATTAAATTGTGCAATTTCTGTATGAAGGTATTGAAACTTTTTCAATTGACAGAACTTTTAAAAAATCAAGCATTTCACCAAAAAAAAAAATCAATGCGAAGTGTATTTTGCTTAGTGTAAAAGAAAAGGACCTCAGTGGTGTTGGCAGCTATTCCCAGAGGTTTTCTCTAAGCGTGAATATGATGAGACAAGTGTGAGGAAGTCATACGTGCAGCCCTCCTCTCCCTCCTCTTCCTCTTATGTTTCTCTTGTTCCACCATCATGCACAAACTAATTTAAAATGAATGAAAACACCCCCTCTTCCTCTCTGTGTCCCTCAGCTGAACGTGATCTTCCTCGGCATCGCCCTCTACAAGATGTTCCATCACACGGCCATCTTGAAACCAGACTCTGGTTGCCTGGACAACATCAAGTAAGAGCCCTCGGATCATCCGGATATCCATTAAAGTGGAACAGAAATAGCTCCTGGTGACGTGATGAAAGCTTGTTTTAGAGTGACAACTGAATTGTGTTTCCTTCAGTTCAATGAAACACTGCTAAAGTGACACGTGTGCATGTCACTTTTCCTGACTCCCCTTTGAAACCTCATTAAAGGCACTTATCCAACTGTTTCAAGGTTTTCTGGTTTAAGCTACCTTGCTAAACTTTAACCCAACAGGTGAGTTTCTTTTAAGTTTTGCTTAAAGTTTCAGATAAATAGCTTTTACTTGTGTCCAGACATCTGGTGGTGCAATATGTTACCGTATGTTCAGCTAAAATACCCCTAGTGGAAAAATAAGAAAGGTTTATGGCTATTTGTACAACGCTGCTTGATTTGAAGGAGTTCAATCATTTAATTATGATACAAAAGCCAATTAGCTTTAGTTGTTTAATCCATTAAACAACATATGTGCGGACTAAAGGTCTTTACATACAAATAAACCACATGGAAATCAGTTGATTAAAGGCCCTACAACTCAAAGGATCATTCATGTTATCCATTTGTCTTGCAAAGATATTGATTTGTGCAGCTTTTAGTGCCAAAGCATTGCATTGTGGATCTTAAAAACACCCCGTGATGTGTGCATTACACTCCACAGATCACGCAGTAGAAAGTCTCTTCTTCTCAAAGTTTCCCGCTGAAGTGTGTGTGATGTGTTTTTAAGTCTGTCAGGAGGATGACGGTCTTTTGGGTCATTGTGTTTGACGTCAGCTGCAGCTACCTGGGGTCGGGGGGNNNNGGGGGGGGTCAGGGGTGGGGGCTCCTCCACAGATGGTGTAAAGTTGTTTTTCCTCGCGGTGCTATGATGGATAAGGGTCTCGCCTCTGTTTTTGCTGTCTGCCTGGCTTTTTGAAGCCGCTGTGGACACATTAGTGTGCTTTATGGCTCGGGTTGTTCTCTGTGGCATCGCATCGCTGGGCGTGTGTCTGCCCCGTCTGCCCCCTCCTCTCTGCACGGGGAGACACATAAACTCCAGCTAACATGATGTAGCTGCTGCAGTCAGGCTGGGTTTCTATGTGAACTCAACACAAGATGTTTGTGTTCTTTAAGTGCTGCTTCTGGTTAAAGTGACATCTCCGTCCCTTTAACATGACATGTAAAGACGTTCAGCGTTTATTAGATTTGTCACTTCTGAGTAATAAGTTGCTATATTTTTCATTTTTGTAATCCTCCTGTGAACTAGGTAAACCCAGTGGCTTTTTGCATCAGCCAGTTACTTAGTTACAGTTATTACAATAAAAGCTTTAACTAAGGGGATTTATGCATTACTTAATGAACTGGAATTGCACATTTGGAGAGTGGAGACCGCCACCTTTACCATAAGAGAAACATACTGCGCCACGTAATGCGCATTTACTCCCAAATGGCTCATGCTACACCTTTACAACAAGTGTCGTGATAATAGGGCCAGTATTATTTCTGTAGTCCTGCTGAAACAGAAAACCTAACTTCCATAGCTAAGGTAAACATGGCTGCACCACAAAGTTTATTTCCTACATTGAGGTGAATTTTTACTTTAAATGTACTGCCAAGTCTCACACTTGTACAGCTAACAGACTAAACAATCACCTGTTGATATATGAACCAATTAGATTGAAGAGTAGATAATCAGGTCAAAACATTGAATAGGATAAAAAGGCTTTGAATAGTGATGTAAACTGCAAAGATATTGAATGATTTGTCTCCAGTAAGACAAAGACTTGTTTCTGATAAAGTTGAATACTGATGTAAACTGGAATGATATTTCAAAGGTTTAAACGGAGGCAAAAACACAGAAAAGGCTTGGTGTACATACATATAGCTTAGCGGAGCACTTTGATCCAAAACCCCCTCTACTGTACCTAACATTTTCCTGCTCCATTTCTGTGTCTTACTCACAAGGTACATTGCATACTTTGTTCTGCAGAAAAATATTGACTGCTGGAGTTCACAGCGTGGTTTGATTTATTACAGCGGCCTCCCATAATGCACCACACAGCTGACCTTCTGACCTCCGAGTCTTCCCGACCTCGAAGCAATCTGCAGCGTTTCAGATGACCGTTGGAAAAAAATAAATGGTGTGCTGCTTCTGTCAGCCTCTCATTCGCCTGACACACTTGAAACCTTTCTCAACACGCGCCTGCACAAAGCTTAAAAACAGGAAGTGATAAACACAAACAGGAAGTAATAGGTCTTCAAAGCCAGTAGTGTGCAGTAGTCTCTCAGATCCATTATTTCTTTCCACTTACTGAGTTATCAAGGTGTGATGGTGATGATAGTACGGGTTAATGCACTCATGTTAATGAGGTGCGTCCTCTTTTATCTTCTCTTTGCACCGACGTATTCCTCCTTGATGTCACGATTTCTCCTGAGATTTCATCATGCTGCTTTCTGTTAATATGAATGTTTTTGATCTGTTTGTCCCTCCCTTCTTCTTTTGATTTGGCTGTGTTTAACATCTTTCTGTTTTCTATCCACGTTTTCTATCCATGCATTTTTTTCTTTTCCTTTTCGTTTTAGCTACCGTTATTATGATGGATGTGTTATTGTAGAGTGGCACTGGTAAGATTTCACAGGATGTAGAGTAGATTTGATATTGTGTTTGATGTGTTTTTCCCTCCTCTCCTTGTAATGCAGCTGCCCTGTGATTCATGGATTAATGACTCCTTTAGACTAACTTCTAAATGCATCATATTCAGAGCATAATGACCTCAAATGGGGGACTTAGCTTCCTCTCTGTGCAGATAAAACTCTTCAAATGCTAACGAGATAATTTCAAAGACACAAAACACCGATGCCAACATCTGAAACATCTTTGAGCTAATTCGCATTTTTAGCATACCTTTGGTTCAATAATTAACATCCCGTCGGGGTGATCACAGCTTTTCCTCTTTTCTTCCTATAAAATGGCTTTATGCACATTTGAAGCAGGTTTAAATGACCAATTCCAATCTCATACCTAAATGATCTGTGACATTGCAGTGAACGCTAAAGGAAGTCATTTTGAAGGGACATGCTGGTAATTCGATGCCACAGTCTGATGTAGCTCTCTGCCTATAATTGTAGATTTCTTTCCGTTTTTCTCTAAACAGCACAATAAGTCTTATCTGCTGCACAGATGGATAGAAGATTTATATTGCACTAGCATTCAAATGTTTCCCTGAGCCGATTGCGTGAATGCTTTATTCAAAATCTGACTGAAATGCACTTTGAATTAGAAATATCTCTAAATAATTAGATTCCCCCTTACCATAAACTGCACTTAACAAACATGTTCAAGCCTAATGATGGCAGATCAAGAGTTTAAATGTCCTGTTCTGTTAGCTTTAAAGCGTGGAACAGCTGCAAAACTAAAAAGCAGTCTTCTTTTGTAAGTGAGCTGCTTTTTTGCCTCAAGGCTCCTTCTGTGCAGCTCTCAAACTCATCCCCATATTTTATCTGATAACTCCAGGAGGAGATATGAATTGTAGCCTCTTCATATCCTGTCCTCTGCGATGCATTCCTCGTGACCTCCCGTGTCTCCATCATAAAACACTCCTGCAGCCAAACGTTTGCCGGTGAGAGGACGGTATTTGGCTCTCTTTGTGCACACTGCTTGTGTTTCTGTGTCCGTTCTGCGGGCAGCCGCTTGATAAAGTACCTCTCCCTCCAGGTCATTAAGACAGCCCTGGGAAAATTATGTTTAATGGTTGCCCTGGTGAATTCATAAATCATTTATTTTGCCGCACACCTGGCCCATTTATAGCGGCTTAAACGCGAAGGTCTGCCAGCATTTATGAGGCGAGCTGCGTTCTTCACAGAAGCAGGACAATTACGGTTATCACCTGAAAATCACCGACAGCCTGTCTGACGTGTGGATGCAGCTTTAATCCTCTTTGTGTGTTGTTTCCCTCTTTAATATCTGAACAATTTTTGTATCTCCATTTCCTTGTCATGTGATTTGATTTATTTCTGTTTTCTTTTTGTTATGTCGCCACATCGCTCAGCTATCAGGATTATGAACCTGAGATCAAGTAAGACAAAATTTGAAGGCCTCATTTCCCATAATGCCATATTTCAATCACTCCTCCATGTTAACAAATCCATGCAGGTGCCTATGTGAGTCATTAACGTGATGTATTGCGTGTTGAAGCCGGCATTAGTGTGCACACGGTTCCCCTTTCTTACATATACATTTCCTCAGGTGACATGCAGGATTAGTTTGAAATGGCTCTTCAGTGCAGTCTGCATAAATATTTATTTAAGTGTAGATATGGCGCTGCAGATTGAAAACATAACAGCTGTATAGGGAAATGTTCGCACATGATATTAAGCTCAATTCAAGGCATCAAAACACCACAGAAGAAGACCAAGTGCCACTTCTCTACATGAAGATGGAGCCTTTTATTCCCATTCATCTCAGTTTACAAGACACTCAGGTAATAGAGCCCAACATGGAATGTACTCNCAGAAAACATACTACTTTGGTAAAAATGTTATACAAATGACATAAAGTGCATATTTCTCCCTGTGAAACTACCCTTACTTAAAATGTTTGGGGTTGCAAACTTCTGGGGTCATTTATTTGTTTGTTTTTTCCCACCATTGCACTCCTTCCTTTGTTGATTTACGGAACATAATGACATCACTACGGATTACGGAACATAATGACATCACTACGGGTTACGGAACATAATGACATCACTACCGAACACTCGCGCTTCAACACATTGTAGGTAATAGGCTTAGGGACGGGACATCGCTTAGCGGTTGCCCAAACACAAGAGAGCCGGCCAGCTAACCAATCAGAGCAGACTAGGCTCTGGGCATTACATTAAAGCATGTACAATGATAATATCACCCTGAGAAAATGGGCCCTTTAACGTCTCTTTTAATAGTGTTGAGTCAGATGACGAAAATGATGGGCACAAAAATCATCTCTCTGTCCTCACATAATCTGAGGTTGAGGCTAAAAGAATAATGACACGTTATTCGTCTAGAGAAATATCCATTAACTATATCAAATAGAGGGACTTTTTTCAGAAAATCCTGCAATCTGATTGAAACATCAGAGTGAATTGGAAAAGGTCTAACTGTGTCAATACTTGACCTTTGTGATACATTATGTCTACATTTAGATTTTTGATTGAAAGCCACAGTCTTTCCTTTTTCTTTATTTTTGCACATATTTTCTGTTGCCTCTCCGTCTGCACCACCTGTGGTCTAATGTTACCCGGCTTTGCCTCCTTCAGGTGCGTAAGGAGTATGGGAAATGTCTGCGCACTCACTGCTGCAGCGGGAAAAGTGTGGACAGCTCCATTGGCTCCGTGAAGGGAACGGCTTCTCGGGTCCCGGGACGTTACTCTACAGGCTCACAGGTGCCTCCACTTTTAAGATGTCTTCACAGTATCTTCCTCAGCGGGACAAATGAGCTCTCGTTGGTTTTGGACTACCAGTAATTCTGTCTTTGTGCTAAATAATGTGTGACATGACACAGATGTGCTCCTCCACACAGAACTAATGAGAGCAGATTTTAAAGGTGACTTTATGTATGATGGATTGCAAGGACATACTGCACATGTCCTCGTTCAAAAGCAGGGAAATATTATGAGTGCATGATGAGCTGAACATACATGAAGTGAGTCTGCTCTGCTGCAGCATAACGCTGACTGAAACATCGTCTCCACGCGGATTTGAATTCCTGCTTAAAAATCTGTAAATCTGTCTCCTCACAAAGCAAATGTATTCCTCCCACATCGACATGAAGCATGATTACCATGACACGTTGTCGTTGCACATCATATCCATGTTCTACATATTCTGTTTTCCTTCCAGTGTTCACGTATAAATAGACCTCAGTGGGCAGCATGCAGCAGCAGCCCACGATACAAGATGCTTGCTGCACACAGATCAGAGCGTTTAATTAGACTCTGACAAGATGGCTCCAACCTCACGCTCAGACAGGAATGGAAACACTCAGAGAGAAAGACGAGCTTGTTTATTGCTTACTCTGAATGAATGTGTAATCAGCAGAGCACATTGGAGCTGCTGGCTGTATGAGTTCTTATCCCAAAAACATAAAGAAATGTGTGTGTGGTGCTGGGGACAACATGATGAGAACAGTATGCCAATACCTGCGTCACTCCATGTTCCTGTTATAAAATACATGAGAAGATCATAACACCTCATCATTTATGACACCATGAAGTTATCATGATTAGAAAAAAGTCTGAATGTCGCTCTCAAATGAAGGCTTCCTGGGAGAGGTGTCATGACAGTTGCTCTAAATGTAGTTAATGATGGCTGCAGTGACTTCATTAAGCTGAAACCTGTCGGAGGAGAGAAATGAACATCTCAAAGGTCGTGACTCGTCAGTATTTTTAAACCTGGAGTGGGTTGCACCAGCTGCTCTTTACCAAACCTGGACATACCAATACGTTGTATGTTCAAAAAGAACTTTTCTCATACTCAAAAGAAAATCAATAACTCACAATTCAATGTGATATGATTGCGATAGCATTCAAAAAAGATATAACTATTGTGTTTATTTGGTTGATTTTCATTTAAAGAAAGTTCTCCTCCACAGTCACACTTTGACTTTTCACTGACTGTGTTCAGGGTGGGTCTTTCTGCCGGGTTTTGACGTGTTGTTGTTTGTGTCTGCAGAGCCGGATCCGTCGGATGTGGAACGACACAGTCAGAAAACAGTCTGAGTCCTCCTTCATGACCGGAGACATCAACAGCTCTGCTTCTCTCAACAGAGGTACCCGATCCCGCTGAAAAATACCCACACAAATAACTCCTCAATTCTTAGACTTCATGACTAATGCACAATGCCGTTTCACACAAAAGCGTCACCATTTTCCTAAAATTGCAGTTACAGTGTTCAATAAGAAACGACAGCTTTAGATCATATCTCCTTTCTTGTGTCTGGTTGCGTTTGTTGACAGTTTTCGAAAGAGAACTAGATTGTGAATGTGAGGCAGAGATTGAAAGTGCTGCCATGCTGCTGCAGAAAACCGTTTTTATTTTTGAAAGAAATCATTTCTACCATAGAGTAATTTAAAGGACACTGCAGGAAGGGTTTCATTACATCTGAACAATGAAGTAAATGTAATCACATTGTTTATGATTATTCTAGCTCAGGGGCATTTTAATACCTCCTAATATGTTTTTGGGAAGTGAAACGAGGCTTTCTCTCAGAGCAGGTGCAGCATAACAACCTGAAAATGAAATTCAGTGGAAACCCCTCTCAGAAGCACGTTAATAAAAGCATTTTCCCGTAACGCGTTTGACAGAGTGCAGTGAATAGAGTTATCCGGGGAGTCTCTCAGGTTTTTACAGAAAAATAGATTGCAGACTTCATCTGACACGGAGAGGCAAACAGCGCCCTGGCTGCCATCCATCCCAGCACTCCTCTCGCTGCTCCTCTTCCACACTCAACTCGCTCCGGGCTCCGGCCTGCGTCGACACTAATGCACAGTTACAATGATGGATTAATGCCCGACACGGGGAGGAAGTGTCAGGATCTCAATAATTAGGCACTCAGCTTAGCACCATCTCCAGACACAGCCTCCATCCAGCCACTGGGGTGGGAAGACTGGAGAAAAAAGTGCAAAAAAAGCTTCAATAAATTGAGGTGGAGCTAGAAATGGTTAAATATCATAAGGTGCAGATAAAGTAGCACTTATCCATGGCTGCTCCCGTTAAAGAGGGAATGTATTCTGCTGATTTCTCCTCTGATTGTTCGCGCTTCTCTCGAGAGCGGACTCATCTAATCATCCTGATAGCGTTACATGTTCAATTCCTCCCAGCATTGGGGATTATCGCAGCAAACACTCATTGCTTTTTTTGCAAATGGTGCAATTTATCAGAACAATAAGTGTTAGATCTGTCACTGGCGGAATTTAAGAGGAGCCGCTGTGTGTGAAACAGACTGTAATTAGGACAAGAAGCGACAACAAATTAGTCTTTTTAAAATCAGAAAAACATTCGGATTCACAGGCAAATAATACTACGCCTGATTTATACTAAAGTTAAACATAACATTCATTTAATCCTGAAAGATGAGCCAAAAGAAAGAGAAAACGGAGGTTCAAAATATAACTAAACAAATTCAGCAATCTGAAATAAAAGCAGATTTCATTGATAATAGATGTTTTCCCGCTCTGCTAAGGAAGCACATGCATGTAACTTCTTGCATGTGCAGCTTTAATAATAAAGGCATCACAACATGTTGACAGGAGGGAAAGTAGATCTTGTAAACAGGAAACGAATGCGAAGCCGCAAATATTTTCAGCATACTTGATATTCAGCTTAATGTATTCAAAACCCTTGAAAATAAATTATTTTTGTCAACAGCAGAGGAAAACAAACACCAGGGAATGTGCGGCGTTCATGTTGCAGATTAAATCTGCTGTTCATCCCAGGCTCCGGCTGGGAAGGCTGTTCCTGTGCGCAGAAACTGATGAGTCATCGAGCACAGGCTTGGCATTAATAGAGAATGAGGCCAGGCTGCAGCAACACTTCATACGGGGGTTATTTCTGAGAAAACACAATCTTAACATGAACTCTGCCTTGTGGAGGAAAGTAAATATTTCCCACTTATGTTCATGAGATCGAAACTAACAGAGCAAGTTGTGCACTATCAAGCTGTCTGGTCTCACATGCAGCTTACAGCGATATTGAAGGAAGATTTAGAAACACTTTTATTTTAACAGTGGGTTATTGATTCCAGTTAAAAGTACAGGAGAATCATTTTGAGGTGGCTACAGGGTATCATGTTAAAAAGACAACTATAGCTTGCTATAGCATATCAAGCTAATGTTGTAGCAGCGTACAGACATACCTTTATATTTCAAACAATATATTTGCACTTGGACATCAACTGTATATGTAAGATTATCTCAAATGTAATATGTGATGTATAGATTAAGCTTCGGACATTGTGACATTGCATCAAGTGCTCAGGGAGATTTATTTTTGAATTAATTTAGTGTCAAAGAGCCAACAATGTCCTGGTGCTGATTGGGTGTATAGTATGTGATACATAAGAGCTGACAAACACACACTTTCTTTGGATATATGTTTGCATGAAATGCAAATGTATCTTAGTTTGCAGTGCTAAGCATTGTAACATGTGCTTAGGGAAATTTGTTGTTGCATTACTTTAGTGTCAAAGAGCCAACAGTGTCCTGGTGCTGATTGTGTGTGTCCTGTTTGAGAGTAGAAATATAAAACTACATGTGTCCTGTTGGCCATGTCGATGCTTTTATGTAATTTATGTTCAAATTTCCTGCCTTTTATGTGAGCAGGAGAACAGGCTTCCAACTAATGGCAGGCATTAACGATATGATTACCATTGTTTCCTATTAGCCTCTCATGTAGCATTAATGATCATTTGGATGTTAATGGCGGTTCATTGCTCAGCTGATATGTATGTTCTCTGTCCCTCTGCACCTCTCTCTGTCTCTGGCTGCTGCAGGGGCTATGGCTAACCATCTTATACCTAATGCACTCCTCCGTCCTCATGGCACTAACAATCCCTATAACACATTGCTTGGGGAATCGGCAGTCTATAACAACCCTCTGGGCATGTACAACACACAAGGTGTGCTAGCTTCTTTCATTCTCTAACATTGTGCTGGGGCAGTGGGTTTTTTTCATGTCTGGTCCTGCAGAACCTGTGAGGGAAACGTTATGATTGCAGAGTTAAAAGTAATGGACTTCACTGAGCTGAAATGCCAGCGTTCACCCCTTGAGGGTTTTTACAGGGCTTTGATATAAAGAAAAACACTGCTCTAGATGTTGTGTGTTAGCATTGAACAAACTTTGTCTCAAAGATCCGCAGGTTTGTTCTGCTCTGGGCTTTTCTTCAGGGGATGTGTCCTGGCTTCTGGCTTAATATTCAGTTACAACAGTCACACTGACATTGTGATAAAGTAAACAAAAAGATGATGAAGAATGTTCTCCTGCAGGGAGCCGGATACATCCCCTCTCATTTATTTTAAATGTGCTCTAATGTTGTCAGCTTGTCTCCATGTCCTCTGTCTCTGTTTCCTTTGGAATTGTCAAACACTGTTGTCTGTGATGAATGTAGTCGGATCTGATGTTTAAACTTTAAATGATATCGCAACAACTAGAAAAGTCTGCTATTATTCCTCATTTTAAGCCGTGAATAGTTTCGTTTTTTAATCGATACTTTGATTGCTAATTCAACTGTGGTCATTTGAACTCCACGTGATTGAGCTATTCATTGAGGATTTTAACACTTTCTACAAATATCCACATCAGCACAAAGGAAACTAGTTTAATATCGTGATCAAATGCTTCCTCTGTGTGCTCTCTGCAGTCTCGCTGTAACTTTGTGAGTGTGTAAAACTGAGAAACTCGTGTCAAAACGGAGATAAAACTCGCATAGAGCTTTGATCAGGGGATAATTTATGTAAGCAATACAAGTCCTGCATGGGAGCTCCTGACAGCGGGCTATAATTCACTTACATTGCAATAGATGTGAAAGAAATATCCGAAAGGAGGAAAATGCAAATGCATGAAAAGATTTACGGCTGCATTTGATGCTCGCCGTGTTTTACCCTGAGGGTCCTGCAGAAACTTCTTCTTCTACATGTGTTAATAGAAATGTTTGCATGGTGCATTAAACAATGCGTCATCAGTGTACTGTATGTGCACATGTTTCTCTCTTGTCACTGTTTTGCTTATCGTGTTGTTTCTTTTCTTCTCTCCTTCCTCATGCTGTCCCTTAAAGAGCCCTACAGAGAGACAAGTATGGGAGTCAAACTAAACATTGCTTATCAAATGTAATTCACTTTGGCTTTACTATATTTTCACTCCATGCTGACAAAGGGGCAATGAAAACACAACATGTCATTCCCTTTGGAAGTAAAAAGCAATATTTGTATGTTACAATAGACCTGTAGAAATCACTTCAAATGCGGCTGTACTGTAGCACACTCTGGACATGAAAGTAACTGTGGCTGAACACCACTTCCATTAGGAGAAACACAATGCAGCTTCAAAAACATATAGAAACACTAATGTGCCAAAACACATGCGAATGAAGAAACATCTGCACCAACTTGACAAAACATGACGTTTTTTACAGTTCATTTAGTAAACACTGCATGTTTTCTAAAGCAAGTTTCACCTAATGGAAATGTTTTAGCTTCTTTGCTCTGAGCCACCATTGATAATCCAACCGGAGACTAAATGTCCCAAGGCACATCGATATCAATTGATTTGTATTCTTTCTCTGAATCGTATAGCACTTATATTATTTTTATTTCACTTTGATACACTTTCTGAAGGTCTCATGAATGAGTCTTATCGCATTTTCAGCAGGTCAAACTTTGGACTTGACTTTTTTTAACGAGCTGCGCGGCCTTGTCCGATGAATCATCGTGAAGTGTTGCTTTGATGCTGATTGCACAGCCTCCGCCCAACTGATCAAATATGGTTCATGTTCATGCAACAGAGAGAAGTCCTCCTTCTGAAATGTTTTCATGTCGAGAGAAAGACGGATAGTTATGCAGAGATGAATACATTATTTGTATTCCCAGTTTTACAATGTTTGCTCATATGGGACAATATGGGTTCAAACTGCTGTTGAGTGTTAATGCATGGCTCAGTCTGCTTGCTTGTGTTCAGTGTGTTGTTGTGCTTCGTGTTGTTGTGTGTCAGTGTTTTCATCTCTGCTACTGTTAAATCAATAAAAAGTGAAGCAGAGAATGTTATGTTTGCAACAAGGTAAGTGTTTATATTTGCAGAAAACATCTTTAAATGTACACAATGTGTGTTTGTGATGAGGTTTTTCAGAATAAAAGCGCTGATGGGTGTTTGTCGTTTCAGAGGGAATCCTGAACAATGCCCGGGATTCAAGTGTCATGGATACTCTACCACTGAATGGTAACCACGGCAACAGCTACAGCATCGCCAGCGCCGAGTACATGAGCGATTGCGTACAGATCCTGGAGCGGGGCTACAACCACAAGGAGACCACCCTGGAGCAGAAGATCCTCAAAGAGCTCACGTCCAACTACATCCCCTCCTACCTCAACAACGCCGAGCACAACCGCAACCTCATGAACAAACTGGTCAACAACGTGAGCAACGGGGGCAAGGAAGGGGGCTAAACTGGTCTTCAATGGCATTAAAACGATAACAACGATACTGTAGTTAATCCATAGGTTAATATCCAATGTGACTGCGTCCCCTTTGAAATGTTCTGATAATCTATAGCCTAAGC